TGTTATTTTTCTTATGATACTAATGCCATGGAAAGAAAAAGGATGCAAGGTAGTCTGGAGACTGCTTCAGTCTGTCTACATGCAAGTCCTGTAAATTTGGAGCAATACATTCTGACTTTACTGCTGTCATTAATCCTGCAAGTTTATGTTTGCATTTTGTGGCCAAACAATTGAATAGGAAATGCATTTTTTCTGGATGGAGTCACTAGCTTCCAAAATGGTGGAGAAAGCAAGTAATTCATAGCATTCAGCAAAATTGCTTCTGCTAAAAAGGTTCTGAAATAGATTTTTTTGAGATCCTGATATGAGATAACTTTTTCCACAGTGATACAAGTTCTGAACACACTTCAGAGGTGATTGCCTCTGGGACTGAAATATCTGATTTCAGATGGTTCCCTCCGTTTTCTGGATCCATATAGATACGAGCTTTAAGTTGGGTTTTGCACCTATTCTAAAGAAAACTTTTTCTGTCAGAGTTGTTTTTACCAACTGCTCATGCGGCACTGGGAAGCTGGCATTAAATTAGCATGCATCTTGCAGACACATTAAGTTGCTTTTAGAAAAATACAGTATGAGCATAAAGCCAAAGTAATCTTTGTAGCTGTTACAGGGAGAGCCATCCTTCCACATGGCACAGTATCGATTTCAAACTGAGTGTGTACACAGGAAATTACATTGACACTTTTCTTCTACTCCTCAGTTGAAGGACAGTGATAGTGCAAGCAATAGAAGATTGGGCTTTTAAAAGAAAAAGCAATTGAGCATAAGTGTTGTTTAAATATTATGATAAATATTCTAATAAAGCACATGTGTTGTTGAAGATATATATTCTGATAAAACTATATTTAAAACCTCACAAACCTGATTCCTGGATATTTGATAATGGTGGCAGATAATTTCAAGCATTACAAGGGATCAGAAAAAAAGTACAAAGTATAAGATCACTGCTGGTCCCAAAAATACTGGTAAAAGGATTATTTACCAAAGAGTATTTTGATAACAGATAAACATTTAAGAAGTTCATGATCTAACTCATTGCATTAGCAATTAATAATTATATATTGGATATTTTGCTTTTCCATCTAAGAAAATTTTGATTAACTTTGAAGTCACAGATCATTCTTGTGTAATAATCCTCTATTTAAATGATTTTTACATGCATATCCTAGTAAAAATTTTGTTTCTAACCTCATGTATCTCAAATATTGACAAGAAATCCCAGGTAAGGGTTTTCACCTCTTTGGAAGAAAGGGATGTCAGAGCAGCAAGGTGAGTCTGCGTGGGAAGGAAGAGAGATGACTGCAGGAGAGGCAGAGGAAGAGTAGGTAGCATCAGAGTGGGGACACCATCAGCCACGTGGTAGCAATGGCAGTCGCTCAAGTGGAGGTGGGTCCACTGGAAGACCAGGAAGAACCGTTGGAAGTTCATTGGACTTCATCAGTCGCACAGACAGTGGGATCAAGTGCACCCTCAGTACATTTGCAGGAGGCTCCAAGCTGAGTGGTGTGGTTGACACACCTGAGGGATGGGATGCCATTCAGAGGGACTTGGAGAAGCTCCAGAAGTGGGGCCATGTGAACATCATAATGTTCAACAAAGCCGAGTGCAAGGTCCTGCACCTGGGTCAGTGCAACCCCTGGTATAAATACAGGCTGGGTGATAAAGGGTTTGAGTGCAGCCCTGAGGAGATGGACCTGGGTCTATGGGTGGATAAAAAGCTGGACATGAGCTATCAGTGTGCACTTGTAGCCCAGAAAGCCAACTGTATCCTGGGCTGCATCAGTACAAGAGTGGCCAGCTGGTCAGAGGAGGTGATTCTGCCCTTCTACTCTGCTCTGTTGAGACCTTACCTGGAGTACTGTGTCCAGCTCTGGAGTCCTCAATATAAAAAACACATGGACCTGTTTAACTGGGTCCAGGGGAGCACTGTGAAGATGATCAGAGGGACGGAGCACCTCTCCTGTGAGGAAAGGCTGTGTTGGGCCTGTTTAGCCTAGAGAAGAGGAGGCTGCATGGAGACCTTATTGTGGCCTTCCAGTACTTTCAATACTTTCAATAAGGGGGCTTATATGCAAGATGGGGACAGACTTTTTAGTAGGGCCTGTAACGATAGGACAGGAGGTAATCGTTTTAAAATAAAAGAAGATAGTTTCAGACTAAATATAAGGAAGAAATTCTGTACGATGAGGGTGGGAAAACACTGGAACACGTTGCCCAGAGAGGTGGTAGATACCCTATCCCTGGAAACTTTCAAGGTTGGGTTGGACTGGGCTCTGAGCAACCTGATCTAGCTGAATATGTCCTTGCTTATTGCAGGAGGGTTCAATTAGATAATCTTTAAAGGCCCCTTCTAACCAAAACCATTCTATGATTTTCTGAAATTCATGAATGGAAAGTCTTCAGTGATACTGAGCGCAAAGACAGTGCCTGTGGCATGAATCACTAAAGGGGGCGATACATGTTTGCACTGTTCTTAGATTCTTCCGTATGTATTCTTTCCTGGTACCTCTTTGAGATTGGCTATTGGTTTGCGTAACTGTGGTTTATTAAATAAGTTTGTTCTTATGCTGGACAGGGCAAAAATCAATGGGGTTGCATTGAAGCAAGGAAAACTGAAGTTGTACTTTAGGAAAAATATAACAGCGGCTGGCCTGTGAATTGATGAGTAAATTCCTTGGCAAAGTTGTGGAGTCCCTGTCATTAAAGGCTTTAAAGAATAGTTGAGACCTAATTCTACAATGCCTTCTTCTGTCCTCATTCTCTTATGCTTATACAGAAATGTTTTGCCAACAAATTGGTATCAGGATTAACATCTAGGGATTCCAGCTCTTCAAATTGTTTGATTGTTCATATATATTTTTGAAACTAGAAAGCTTGAAAATTTGGCCCTCTTTGTAACTGAACATCAATTTTGAGATTTGTGAAAACTTTGTTATTCTATTTTCTTGTTTTCATTTCTTCTGCATTTTGTACAATATTAAATAATCCAGTGAAGCTCATCCATACAAAATTTTCTGCTTTTATCAAAATTAGGCAGCACCTTTAATTCACTCTGAATCTTGGGTTTTCAGGGCAACAAGGTTCGGAGAGAACCCTTCCTGAACTTCTGAGGATTGGTCATTGAAATCTCCGTATAGAGTAATAATGCAGTCTTTCTCTGTTGTGTAATAATGTGGTGCATAGGATATCCCAAGAATGCCTTTTCTAAAGATCAGACTCAATCCATATTTACATCAAAGGCTTTTATTTGTTAAGTAAAGAAAATTGCACATCCTTTTGCAGTGAAAGATCTCTAATCATTCCAAAGGTGGCTAATACCATTTTGTGTTTCTGTGTTTGTAATTTTACAGAGGAAGAATAAAAGGCCAAATAATTAAAACTGCCTTTACCCATTGCTCACACAGGAAATCACTGCCAGCACAACTTACTTTCAGCTTGAGAATGTCTTTAACTGCACTTCCTATGGCTTCTGTAGCACAGAAGTAATGCTGTATTAAGGCTGCTTCAAACTATACGGGTTTTTTTGCTAAAAGCAGAGTAGCACTGTTGCAACTCAGCAGTCCATACGCTCTTTGTTGTGTTCTGGAACTCCTTTTCAAAATCATTTCCTGATGTTTAGCTGTTCTATTGAAGCTATTTTTAAAGAGAACAACAGTTCTTTCAGTGTAAAGAACAAAATGGGCTTTCTGTAGAAACAGTTGTGGGTTGCTTTCCAAGCACCATTTTTTGTGGTGGTGCTGGTTTTTTCTTTTTTTTGAGAGGTGGTGTGTGTGTGTTTGTTTTTTGTTTGGTGGGGTTTTTTTTTTAATTAAACAGAAAAGCAACTGGCATTAAAATCCTAAAACTGCAGCCAGTACCTGTATTTCACCAGTGAAAGTCTAGGGTTTCCTTGGGGTTTTTTAATATTGGTTTTGAAACAAAAATATGTTAGTATTTACCTAGAGTTTATCTGTCACTCACAAAACCAGGACTGACCAGTGAGATGCCCTCACTTGCGCTATTGTGCTCATCAGGGCCACCTTTTCTGTGCAAGTATATCGCTGGAGTCAGAGGATAGGGTAAGAAAGATTCAGCTATGAGCAATGAAGTGATTTGAAGTGTTTAGAAAATACCTTACAACAAGGTGCTGAAAGGACTGATAGGAAACAATTAAAGTGTGATATTGAAAACATTTGAAAATGCTGTAGGGTACAAAATAGATCATATGGGAACATTCCTTCTGACTCAAATAGTGATACACTGAAAAAAATGGAAAGGTGGCCAATCAAAGCTGACGAAAGTGAATATTTAGCTGTAGCTATTGTATTAGCAGGATCAAAAGTGGACTGTACAGCTACATGGATAACATAAATGTGGAAATTTCATGGAAATAATCTAGGAGTTCAATGATTAGGAATAGCCTTGGTGTAATGTACTCTAAGAACTATATATTAAAAATGAAGCATGTCTCTGAGGATGTATACTCTTATGCTTTGTAATATGCTAAACCTCTCCTGTTAAAACTTTATAGATAATTTCTCTGGAAGTATGTGGTTTTATAGTGCTTACAAGAAGGCTTCCTACAGTGAGCTTCAGGGTATTGAAGGTTGTCAGATAATATATATTGGACAGGAAGAACTTCTGATTTGATTTCCATGGCACTTAAACAGAATACATAGTTTTGACAGGAAGAGATGTCACAGATGGATTCTTATTGTTTTTAATTAAACTTAGTCTTTAAGATGTCACAGATGGATTCTTATTGTTTTTAATTGAACTTAGTCTTAAAAAACTGATTTGGGGGGGAGGGTGTTGTACATGTGTGGTATTTAGTCATCATGTAATTCATATTAATGAAATATTTACACATTCTTAATCACTGGGGTATGTAAGCCTAAATTTATGTAAAGTAGATTGTAAAGTTGCAACAGATGGGAATAATGTCATTTTAACACACCTTAATAACCATGTTGACATGGGACTGCTGGCTTTCAAGTGTATTTGAAAAGTTGTTGAAGATTCTAAACTTTTTGCTTTGTGAGAAGCTTGTAAGTGATCTGGAATCCATCACCCCAAGCGAAGAGTTGCTTTTCTTTAGGATTGTAATGTATAGTGGAATGACTACCCTGACGTTTTGGAAAGTGCAGTACTGGGATTTCATAAGTATTTACAGCACCCAAGACATCATAAACGCATTGTATGCGAGAGGTGCCTCCACTAGGAAAGTTGTATACAACATAGAGTATGTTGCACACCATGAAAGCTGCTTCAGCATCCTTGCTATTGCATGATGTGTCCCAGGTGTGCTCTATTGCCATGGTTATGTGGTTGATTTTTGTAATTACAATGTTTCTTCCAGTCTCTGGTTCTGCATGGATTGCCCAGAGCCCTTGCTCATCAATTGCAAGATCTATTTTTGTAGATGGAGAAAGCTGATAGGCAGGAATCCTTCCAGCCCCTGGCAGTAGCATTTGGTCAGTTATAGTTCTTTTCTGGATATTGAATTTAATTATCTCATTCAAGGAGCCATATCTGTGATAGAACAGGGAACCCTGATATATGATGTGGCCAGTTCCTTCCCAGGGAAATGGCAAGGTGACTCTGCGAGCTTTTAGTGTATGATTGCTTTCCATGAATGTCATGATATTTGCCCATTCCAAAACAACATTATTTACAGAACCATTTAACAAATAAATCTTTGTATGCTTTTTGCCAGGATCTTTCATCCAAGAGCCGTGCTTATTTCCAGTCTTCTTAACTATCTTTAGGGATTTAATACCTGCAAGCATGTGGTCACAACCTGCAAGGAAACACCCAAAGACAAAAAAAAAAAAAAAAAAAATTAGAATATCTGTGAATTTTCTAGTTTCCTTTCTTTGAATTACTTCTTTTCCTTTTTAATCCAACTGTAAGTCCAGGGTCAATGTATCAGTAAAGGTGTCAGTAGCGTGGCTATGGTAGGTAGTGTTGGAACCAATTTTATATGATATTCAGCATCTTCTGCTTAGGAAACTGCACACCTTAAGCTACACAGTCTGCTTTTTTCTGCTCTCATAGACCATTTGTTATCCAAAAGGGATACCTGAGAGGAGACCGAGAGCACAGTTAGTGATTCTCTGAGTACTCTTGTACGTTCTTTTACAAGACTGTAATTTTTACTTCACAGAAGTGACTTCTGGTTTAGAACAACACAGTAAAATAATCAAATTTAATTCTTCTTGAAGACATACAAATTAAAATCCATTTTCCTGATATGTCAAGTGTACAGTATTTTTGTTCCAAGAGTTCTCTTATCCTCCATTATCCTCTTCTTTGTATTTATAGTATGATGATCTATAAAAATAGATCATCACAACAGAAAGCCAAAACACTGGGTTATCTTCCCATTTCCTTTCCCAACACCTACAGCACAAAGGAACTAGAACAAATGTATGGATTGCAAAATCAGGAATGACCATACATCAAGGAGAGCTTTAAATGAACTGGTGTGATGTTTGTGTTATCAATTCTTATGATAGAAGCATGACTGGTGGAATTACATAGTTGTTTACCTCACTATAGGGATAAAATTCCACCAGGAGAGAGTGAGTTTTGGCGTCATTGAATTCTGTATATGCTTTGCACAGATGCTTCAGACCAAAAAGTACCAAGCTTCTGAAGACTCAGACATTTAGACAAAAAGATCTTTATCAAGTCCCATCCTTTCCAGGAAAAACTGTACTGTAAAGCATATTAGCAAGCTTGTTTACCAAAGGCACTCATAAATTACAAGAGACACTATTTGAAGTTTAAAGAATTGCCTTTAGTGAAGTGCAGCCGTTTTAATAAACAGAACAAACAAATCCCTAAGGCAGGAAGTTCTGGCAGATGAAATGGAGAAAGCAAAACCAGCCTCCCTATTTGGCCTGATATGAACCTATTGAAGTCAGTGGCAAGATTCCAGTTGCCTGTAGAAAGCAACCTTTATGTCGTTTATGTGTACTGATACCCTCTAACCAAATCATTTGGATAATGCTGCTACAGCATGGATTATTTTGTTGGAAGTCCTCACTCTGTATGCACCTTCCCTGAGCAAGCCACAATAGCTTTCCTGAAACGAATGTTTATTGATTAGATAGATTCTTCAAACTTAAAACTGTTGAGTCAAAATACCTAGTCATCCTTAGCAACATCTTAGCAACAGGAGGAATAACCAGATTACTGTCTGAAATCTATGATGTGTCTCTCTTGATAGATTTTTAACTCTCCTTGGCTTTTATAACATCTTGCAGGAAGACTGAGAAACGGAAACATTCACAGTGAACAAAAAGTTTACCTAATTTTTTCCATATTCTACACAATGATGCCTTCAAAGCCCACTGTTTCTTATCATACCCCAAAATGTGCAGAAGATAATTTCCCGTTTCCCATCCAAAGCAGGATGAGATATCAACTACTGGATGTAAAAACAGTGATTCTGCTGGATTGTTATGTTCAAGCCTATGTGAACTTGAACCAAATCCAGTAACAAAGTTGGACTTAAAAAAACATTTTTTTTTTGCTAGAATTTTGGAGACACTCAGCAAAATTAATTGTAATTTCTGGTTAATATGTGATGGCGTAGAAGCAGAGCCGCTGTTTCTGAGTGCTGTGAAATCTACACAGGGACTAGGTTTACCATCAGCTTCAATGGAGCATGGATCTGACTCATATTGTCAAAGGTAAAGTTGCTATGAACTGCTGAAATAAAATCAAAAGTAATATTTTCCAACAAGGGAAAATGGAAAGTGATTTTTTCCCCTCTGAAACTCTCAGAAAGGTAAAATTTTCAAAGTGTCCTTGCCACAGTCAGTTTAAAAATCCCTAAATTTTTCTGACTCTCAAAAAAATGCCTCATGTTAAAAAATCTATATATGGAAAAAAGAAATCTTCATATTCAGAGCACTCAGTTGTGGTGTAGGATTAGAGCTTACAAAGAGAATGGGTGATTGCTTCTGTTACCATCTGCCTTAATACTCTGTTCCTGGAAAAGTTCAAGGTACAAATTGTAAACTTATTTGTAAAATTAAATCAGTCTAATTCTGTTGAGGTTAGTGCAATTGTATAACTGATGATGCTAAAGATCTTTTGCTTGGCTTCTTAAAGAAATGGCAGTCTTTTTATTTTTCATTTTCTACTACTTTTGAATGAAAATGAAACAGACTACTTCATGTATGTCTACAATATGTAATTTACATCTATAACAACTTTCTTAAGGTAAAGACACTTATAAATAATTTGTTTTAAAAAGTATAGATTATGTATATGTTCTTCATACTAGGTACCTTAACACTTAATTTTCAAATCAGAACGGTGCTTTGCTTGCCACTAAGTCCATGTGCTTTCTTGATAAATTATGTGAAGGGGAGAGGAAGGAAAGGAATAACAGTGGAGTACAGTAAAAGAGATGCAAATTGTAGAAGTGAATTAAGTCTTTTTATTAACTCCTGAGTTCACTTCTGAGTTGAGGTTTTGCCCCTGCCCACTCCAAAAACCAAAGACCACCATTAATCCCTTGGCATAGGTGCAATACTCTGAAACGGACAGGCATTATTTTTCTGGGCTTGGCAAGACCATACCTTCAGAGGCTTTTTACATTACTTTATAATAGAAAGCAGCTTCCAAAGAATCAATTTCAGATGCAGTAGAGCATCTACAAAATAAATGTTTGAATTCTACCTTCTTTCCTCCTTGTCTCAGACCTTATCTCTATGCATGTATTTTTTTTTTTTTTGATGGTAGTATTTACACAGACAAAACCCCATGCAATTATCTGTGGTATAACCTGGGAAATCCGTCTATCAGCATACATGCATTGGCTAGGGGACTGGCTCATTCAGATCAAAGTTTTGAAAAGTAAACTCTTCTTACTTGCATTAAACATGAGTTTAAGTTTCTTTTTTTCTTCTGCTTCTTCAAATAGTTGCTGTTTCACCAGGTCTTCATGTACTTCTATACATGTATTAGAATCTGTGACAGATCCAAAATAGTCAATGTCCCTTTGTGCTCGTTCAATTCTTGTTAGCAAATTCTCTACTTCATTTTTAACCTCAGCCTTATAATTGTTCAGTCCTGCCAGGCGTGACAGTACCATCTTTGAAAAGTCTCGGAATTCTTCCACGTAATCCAGTATGTCTTGGTTGCATTTTTCCAGCCTCTTCTTGAGTTAGAACACAGGAAGAAAATACATGGATATAGGTGTATATTGTGTATAGATTACCACCTTATTCATCATTACTTTAAAAACTGTGCTATTCTCTGTTTTCCAGAGCCCCTGCTCCCCATCTATTTCAAACTGATGGTCTGTTGCTGTATATCTACACAAAGAGGACATATCAGACTGGCACTAGCATTCATGGTTCTGGACAAAAATACACATTTTTTTCTTGATGTGGTTACTGACAACCAGATACTTTGTTTTGCTGCCTAAGGAGAGAAAAGTGTTCTGGTGGAAACAGCCAGAGATACTTCAGGGCACATGATCTCAGATTACTTGCTTTCCAGAAACTTTTCGGAACTCCTCCTGTGGGGCCGCTGGTGACGCAGTCTCAAAAAGTTTCCTGCAGGAAATCTACAAATGTGAACTTTTCACATAAATACACCTCTTCTGACCAAGACAGTATCTAGTGTGGCTATTTTTCATCCATTTAAAATGGAAAATGGACATACTGACATATCTGATTGAATAGTTGCCTTTTTTTTTCCAATTTATTCTCTGTATTAAAAACAAACAAACAAAAAACCCCCAAAAAACCCCAAACCACAACAAAACCCAGATGTTTCTTTATATCTAGATTCAGATTATCAACATTTTAAAGGCGAGGAAAGTGGTTTCTCTGTTGTAATGCAGCTTATTCTGTAAAGATCGTAGGTGGCCTGAAAATAGAAGCCCCGCTGCCCCTTTGGGAAGATAAGGAAACTGAGCCAATATTTAAGACCACACACACAATCATAACAGATCTAACTGCTCGACTGAGTGTTCTGACTTGGTGCCTTAGGCACAGATTTCAGATGTTTTGTTTCAAGGTGTATGACCAGGGAATGTCTGAGTTTACTGAATGATGCCTACAAGAAAGCTGGAGGGGGACATTTTACAAGGGCCTGTAGTGACAGGACAAGGGGCAATGGCTTTAAACTGAAAGAGGGTCGATTTAGATTGGATATCAGGGGGAAGTTCTTCCCAGAGAGGGTGGTGAGGCACTGGAACAGGTTGTCCAGAGAAGTTGTGGATGCCTCAAGGGTATTTTGCAGTACAGGTAGTTTTTTTACTGCAGAGAGAGAAGCAGGTACTGGAACTTTTATATAATTAATTGAAAGCAAATGCCTATTTCAGTCTCCCAGCTGTAAGGGTATTATTTCAACTACTATTTAAAGTAGAGATACACTGCTAGTTTACACAAATGTTTCCTAAGCTACTCTTCCAGGTAGTTTCACCTGTACATAGGAAAAATACCTGATAAATTTCTCCTTGTTAATACTTGACAGCGTTTCTACTAGTGACAATATGGTTATACTGTTCCCTAGGATAGACTGTGATGGTACTATGAACATTTGCATATTTAGTTAACTTCACTGATGTTGTGAAAAAATAAAAGTGATAACAGAACAAAAACATAATGTTATGAAATTATAACCTGCAATAAATATTGGTATGGTAATTAGGAATCACTATAGCTTAAAGTTTAACTATAATTATAGTTATTTATTTGAAAAATCTCGAAATTTATCTTCCTGATATTGTTTAGAATACTGTTGTGTGTTCACACACATAGAAGAACATTCATACATTTCCAAATCTCCTTACAGTTAGGCAGCATGACAATGGTACAGATAGCACATACCTCTAAAAACAGGAAACGCCGGTCGATGTAGTTCATCAGTACTGCATCTTGCATCATATATTCTGCCACTCCCATGATGCTTGTGAAGAATGGAACTAATAAAAATCGGAGTTTGAAGACTGCCATTGTTTCATAAAAATTTGAAGCAAAAAAGTAGTGACTTAATTGTGTGTGTATAGAAGGCAGTCCCAAACACAACTGCCAGTCAAGGATTAAATGAAATTTAACAGTTGTCTGGTGCCGTGATGTGAAAAAGTAATACTAAAAGTTACCAACAAGTTAAAAGTACTAGAGCTGCAAGTATTAAAAAGACTTAAAATGGCGGTTGCCGTTTTCATTTAAAAAAATAAAGTTGTGAAAGTGGAACTGAATGTGTTTATTTCAGGAAGCCAGATGACTGCTTTCCAGTTTGTGATCCTATAATCAATCCCAGATGTTCAGTACTGAGTCACATAAAGCCTGTAGGCCAAATTTTATTAAGTATAAATAAAAATATTTTTTCCTCTCCTTTCTCCTCCCATCTGCTTTCCCGTGTGACCAACAGTGTGCAGTATGTACTTGCTCTAAGTCAGCATAGACTCAAAGTCAGTGGAGCACTGATCGTTCTTTCACAGGAATATCTGATGCATAATGTCTGTGGCTACTTCAGCAACCACAGTTGTTACTGTAAAACAATCTAAAGCAATTGTTTTCACTGCCAGTATTCAACCTATTCACAGTAGGACTGAAAACCATAGACAAAATTATTAATTTTTTTTTCCTTGCCCTTTCCCTCTTCTCTTGCCAGTACTTTTCCAGCTAAAAGCAATACCCTTAACACAGTTCTGTGTAAATTTAATGGAGTCCTTGATAGATATCTTCTTTCAGAATAATAATTCCACTTAGGGCAACTTAAAAATTAATAATACTTAACTTGCAAGAGTCTATTGCATTTGAGGCAATTTTTGTTTATAATTTCCATGACTAATGTCTTGTATGGAAATATATGTAACTATGCTAACAGGTATTTGCTATGAATCCATGTGTTCTAATGTTAGAAATATCCCTTTGTGTCTGAAGCCAAACTGGATGACTGTTTCACTTTCTCAGAATTCTCTACCTCTTGACTCTTTTTTTCCCCCCTGTTTTTCTTTCTCTACAGTTTTGTGGGTTTCTTTTCCCTCACATTTACATAGCTTTCCTTTTCTTTCTGGCCGCCTTGTCTGTAAGCATGTGACTTGTGACAGAATTCATGAAAGTGTGTCACAGCAGGCAGATTTGCTTGGTTGTTGCAAGGTACCATTATGTGTGCTTTACAGACAAATTTCACAGAGGTGCACAGGTAAGTATTTTTTCTTTTAATATGGCTTTATCCTAAGAGGTGTAAACAATTTGCCAGTTCCTATTTGCAGGCAAAGTCAGTGATGCACAGAGAGGCTAGTACTTCTCCACTCCAGTGTCATTTCACTTTACTCCAGAACTCCTGACTGGGTGGATGGAAGGTTTGCATGCTTAGATCCTTGGAGGATTTTGCACTGAGAATAGACACCCTAGGAAGTGAATCTTCTTCCTTGATTATGTCCTATGGAACATCTTGACTAAGGGTGCTGTTTTCTTTTCCATAAAATAATCAGCACCAACAGTGGGGAAGAATACAGAAAAATCATCTCTTTTCTAACCTCCCAGATGGATGTGGAATCTTTCAGAGTTGTTCTCTGAGTTTAGTGTATCATAGAATCATAGAATGGTTTGGGTTGGAAGGGACCTTAAAGACCATCCAGTTCCAACCTCCCTGCCATGGACAGGGACACCTTCCACTAGACCAGGTTGCTCAAAGCCTCATCCAGCCTGGCCTTGAACACTTCCAGGGATGGGGCATCCACAGCTGCTCTGGGCAACCTGTCCCAGTGCTTCACCACCCTCTCCATGAAGAACTTCTTCCTGGTATCTAATCTAAACCTCCCCACTTTCAATTTAAACCTGTTACCCCTTGTTCTGTCCCTACAGGCCCTTATAAAAAACCAAGATCTGTCATGGTTTGTCTGCGGTTTGGAATATGCTTGACACAAGTTATGACTGCAAGTCCTATTTTAAAGTAATATGCAGTAGCAAGTTAACTTTATGACTTTTAATATTCTTTTTCATTGAAGTCTGTAGGCTGGGTTGCCCTCTGAAATCAGCCAGTAGCCTCTTTGGAAAATTTTATTGTATTATATCAGAGCATGAGTCATAGCAGAACTTGTACAGAAAGTTTTTCCTTTAAAGGTGTATTATAGGTTCTGACCGAATTTTTTATAATCACAGACAATTCTTCAGGTTTCTCTAGGTGGAACACTATCATTTATCACTTTCAGATCAAGCTTATTTCTGTTTGAACCCAGACCACCTAAGCAAATATAATACCCTAAGCAAAATATTACAAACTTACTAGCAAGAAAACATACTTAGAAGTCAGGATACAGATATATAATTTTTTTCCTTCATCTCAAAACACGGACAAATTTTCTACAAAGCAAAATGTCTTGAACTGCTAAACATCCTGTATAAGCTTCCGCATACTATAGAAGAAACTGGATTTTGTGGTGTTGCTCCATCATTTCTTACAATTACCAGCAGCTGAAAGACCAGAAACTTCCAAGGATTTCTCTTAATGAGGCTTTTTCCTGTGCTTATTAAACCATAATCTCATGGTAAATGGCAATGATGGTCCCTGTGTGATACAGCATTCTGGGAGGGCATGCTGTAGCATCTGGTTAAGAACCGACCTTTTTTTTTTCTTTAGTTATATATTTTTTAATTCTCTTCTGCCTAGACATATACATGGATTGCGTGGGTGGTGTTTTGTTTTGTTTTTTTTTTTTTTCTTCCCATCTACATATTAGCTGTGTATGTAGTAAGTAAATGTATGTTTATATTTATGATAGTGATTTAAAGCAGACTTGCTTGGCTTGCCTGAGAAGAGATTGGTCTCAGTGCACAGGGTGTTACATGCTAACAGAGCAGAAAGAGTGCTCTTATCTCAAGGAACACTTTTTCTCTTGTGAACAGCTCTTGGAATAGGTTCCCTATTACTGTCTTGATTTGACAGACAAAACTCTAAAACGAAGCAACTGTGTTAATATAATGGCCTTGTCACTGTTCTTGTCTGTCTCTCTCTGGGTAAGACGGTATTCTCTTCTTGTCAATACTGCTTCTTTGTTGCACTTATTACACCTTTTAACCTTTTGATGTCTGTTTTGACAGCTGTTTGAGGTTTCCAAATTAAAAAAAAGGGCATTTTAATCTCCTCATCTGTGTTTGTGATTTTGATTCAGATGCTGGAGTGAATGTTCTGTGTTTTAAAAGTGATGTTGAAATCAATTCAGACTGGATACTAGATCTGGGGAAAAACTAACATTTCTTTAAGATATTATTTCACTCTTATACCATTGCTTGCTATGTGTTGTTTTTTTCTTTTTTTTTTTTTTAAAGTCAGTTTCTTTCTGGAATTTCAGTTGGTAAAACCAGAGCAGTACCACAATAAGTCAGGCTTTTTGCAGTAATTTGTGCCACTATTGTACCTGCAAACCCGGTTACAGTCAAGAGGAATGTGTGTAAACTGTAAGTTTACTTTTCCACAAAAACTCATTTCTCCATTACACTCATGATATCTATTATGAGATAGGACCTCAGCCATGCAGACCTCAAGATTACTGTTCAAGGCACTTCCTTGACTTGTCTGTGATGAGCCTCTGATTTGTCGCAGATCTCCAGCTCACTGACATAGGTTCCTCTTCTAGGTCTTCCAGTTGACTTGCCTTCGGTCCCACTGTGGCTTCTTGTTGGCATGCCTCAGTTCCTTCCAGGAATCACAAGACATGTCTTTGTCCCACCAGAGCCATGACACATAAACCACACAGTGTCGTTGCTGGGTCTGTCCATGCCTGTGACTCCAACAGACTCCCTGTGTGTTCTGTGAACTCAGGCTGCCATTTTTTACTGACTGCCAAGATCCCTCACCCTTCTTCCTTGGCTTTTACCGAGCAATGGATGTTATCATGACCCTGAGAAATATGGGAAGTCCGCATTCCCGTTGCTTAGATGCGAGTAATACACATACATGTATACATCAGATTTTACTCCTGATGACCAGACTAGCTTAAAACAGAGCTGATTATGTTTTTCATCCTTTGTTAACCCCTATGTGTAAAACAATAAATAGATAGATGAAAAGAAAACATCAGAGACATAGTCTGATTTACAGCTTTCTACATCACTGACTTTATACACACATGCATTAGAAAAACTGCTACTCAGCCTGATGCATCACTGATACATCAATGTATGTGTGCCTTGTGGCTTGCATCTCATGATCATTAACTAAATGTGTTGTAGGCAAAACAAGGAGAAAAGAGATAACTATCTTAAATAATGAGATTTTTTTTTGTGATTGCAGGTTTTTTTTGGCTTACAATTGCCTAATATGTTAGGTTTTGCATCTGATGAAACATAATGGTATTTTATATTAATAATATGCAGTGTATCATTGTGTTCTTGTGAATTTTCTAATTTTGTTCAGACTTGGTGCAACAGAAGTTCCATCTTAGTACTAGCCACTACCTGTTGAGGTTGTCTAATGCTGAGATGTGTGAGGTTAGGAAAGCTTTTTGTCATAGTGGGAAATCATTTAATTCCAATGCTGCCTTATTTTTTTGCACCACTTTCCTTTTTATATGTTAGAGAGTGATGCACATTTCTGTAAAAGGCAAACATATGAAATCAAATTGAAATCCTTATGTTGGATTCAGCTCTAAGAGCAGTATCGGAGTGATACCAGGAAGGGAAGTAGTAATATACTGTGATAAAAAGAACACTTTGCTGCATTTTGGTATTCAGAGAAAGGCCTCCACTAGGCGGCAATCAAATCCTTAGAATTGAAGGCAAACTCACTGAAACACGTTTCCAAACTCCGAATGAGATAAACATACTGAAGGAAGCATGATTCAGATGGTCCAGAATGATAGAGACACAGGAATGGAAAGCTGTTAGTAAGCCAGGTGTTAGTAGGCTTTAGCAGTCTGCTGCTGCAGTGACAAGCTCACATGCGTTAGGGGTCTGTGCCTTCCAAAATGGAGAAAGCCAGTGCTTGCTGGACTCAGCAAGAGCTT